ATCACATTGCCGGGTTCTTGTTCTATTAGTCCCATATGTGAATGTCTCCTCACGATATCTATCATAATATTTAATGCTACAACTTTCAGGTCTTTGAGAATTTGTTAGGTCGGTGAGATTTTCATTAGATATTTGTTTAAGTATTCTCTTTGTCACTGCTAATGAAACACCCATATCAATTTCTACCACTGGTTTTCTGCAGGCTGACTTAGCAAGCATATCAACAGTGTCATGCCTTGAGATGCCAACATGTGATGGTATCCATAGGAATTTAATCTCAAATCTGTTTTCTTTGGCAGCTAAAACATTCATTCGAATATCACTGACTATTTTCTGGGTGTCACTAGTATGTGCGTTCAATGCCAGGAGTGCACTCTGCGAGTCACAGTATATAAGTCCACTGCCTTTGTCTTTTAAAAATTCAGTGGCAAGGTATATGCCTGCAAGTTCGGTTTGAGTTGTACTTGCCCAGTCATTGACGCGCTTCATTGCTGTATGTACGAGAGAAGATTGTTCAAATATGTTACATGCACATCCGGTACATCGTCCACCTTCTTCTACAGAGCCGTCGGTATAGCACTGATAAACATCGTTACCCATACTCTGAGTACTTTCAGTGATGCTTTTCAGTGTTAACTGTTTTAATAATGTAGTGTGCACACTATCTTTCTTGGGCGCATTTACAAAATCAACTGATAGATCCCAGTTATCCCATGGAGTAATTGGCTGATTAATCATTAGTCGAGTTGGGTACATATTTAATATTTTGATGGAGTTGGCTACCTTGTAGAACCAATATACATAATCAGATTTCGTTCTTCTTCTATAGACCTCAGGTGAGTGTAGCATATTAGAAAGTTTAGCTTGAAACTTCATGTGTTGTCTAGATCTACTCAATGCCTTCACGCCGAAAACTGTGCTAATAGACAAGATTCTCTCACTTATGGTAGGTAATTTTAACTCTGCTCTCATGTTAACTATTCTCGTGGACTTTGGAGCCCCAAGGATGAGACGCATAGCTTCATTTTGCAAGGTTTCAAGAGATTTCAGCTCTTTGTCAGTATACAGTGTGAGATGTAGAGCATTGTAGTCAATCACAGAGCGTATAAATGATACATAAAACATTCTAGCAAGTCTCACGTTAAGCCCATGATTGACACCAACAAGGACCCGCAAGGGCTTTAATCTCTCCCAAAGTCTCCTCTTGAGAGAAGAAAGGTACCCAGGGTCGTTAATGGGGACACCAAGGTATCTGTAAGACTCGCAGTTCTCAAGTGCTCGCCCATCTATATGATAATTGGGTGGTGGAATACCACATGGAATGAAGGCACGAGTTTTCTGTACAGAGATAAGGAGGCCACATTCCTCAGCTCTAGTAGCAAAAGCGTCGAGCAGAACCTGCATTCTAGGCTCGGTGGCAGCCTGTAAACATATATCATCAGCATAACAAATGACAGTGTCTTCATTATTAGTTGGAAGATCTTTAATAAGTTTATGCATCAGAACGTTGAACAACAAGGGACTGAGGACCCCTCCTTGTGGAGTTCCCAGTTCAAAGTGTTTGCTCTCTGTGCTTTTAACACCATTAAACAAAACATATGCTGTTCGATTAGACAAATAGCCCTTTATCCATTTCAGTAATTTTCCTTGTATTCCCAGCTCGGCCAGCTGTTCCAGTATGATTTCTCTGTTTGCTGTATCAAAAGCTGCTGCTAGGTCGATGAAGACTGTTTGAGGGGAAGCTTCAATATGTGCGAAGTACTCAGCAAAACAGTGTTGTGTACTGAGCCCAGGCATAAATCCAAACAGTTGGGGTGACAGGTGCCCCTGTATACGATACATGAGTCGGTTTAGAACAATACGTTCAAGCACTTTACAAACACACGATGTTAGAGATATGGGTCTATAATTATCTGAGTGTGGTTTGGGGATAGGAACAATGACACTCGTTGTCCAAGCATCAGGTAATACTCCTTCACGTAAACTCATCTACTCTCTCTAAGCTTCTACTCTCCTGAAATTTTCGCTCAAGGGGATTAAAAGGTTCCTCTATGGCCCAGTCCATTTTTGTTACCCCAGCGAGTGATTGCTTCTACTCCCTGAAATTTTTGCACGAGGGGATTAAAAGGTCCCTCTATGGCCCGGTTCATTTTCGTTACCCCAGCGAGCCTTGCACAGACATCGCTAATGGTCAATGACATCACCAGCTAGCTGCTCAGCGTTCCTGCACAGGCACGTTCAAGGGGATTAAAAAGCCGGTCTATGAGTCGTGTGTTTTGCGTTACAACAGTGACCCTGAAACCATCATCCCTAGTCTATTTTAAATTTCCTATTTACTTCCAACCATCGTCCATTGCAAAAGGGGAAGGAACACAGAGCACGAACTATCATGTATCTCAGCGTTCCTGTGAGTGAAATATCTTGTAGGTATTGGTGTGGCAGGACATATTATGGCTAATAATTGGTCTGAAGTTGTTTGTGTTGTCCTCTCATCTTCCAGGCTTGTGTTATTATACCATATTTTTCAAAAACTGATGCACTAACTTATAACTAAATTCTCTTGGTGGCATTTTATTGGTATTTTGGAACCTGAACATATTGTAAACATTTAGGACAGAAATATCATTTGAGTTATAACAGTAATTTCTCACAACATGAGCCTGCACAAACACTAGAGTGAACTAATCTGTGTGTTCCATTTGTCAGTTAAGGAACTCTAAATGTTCTCCCCTGCCAAAGTCAAACTAAGGCTGGAAACACTTCTTTTTATTTACGAACCTGATTATGGAAAAATACAGCTGCTATTTTCTCAGAGAAAATTATGCAATGCATGCTAGCCTGGAGCTTACAGGTAGTTGGGTGGGTGTTGTTTGTGCATCTGCTCCAGTACCGACAGCTCAGACCCCATGGGAATGGTGAGCAATGCTTTCCTTTTGAAATTTTGGACTCATTCGAACTCAGCAGTACAGGAGTTTGTTTTGACTCTTTCTGGATGCCTTCCCTGGTGAAGTGGTGAAATGTCACTGCTCCCCCATTCCTCTGTGACGGGACCAGGTTCTGGCCCTGGTCACCAGTAGACCCAAGAACTCCATGGCTGATGTGATCTGGTAGAGAGGGAACTATCTCAGTATATAGCTTCAGTGAGCCACTGGGGCTCACCCAGAAACAGGTATTTCCTTCCATTTGGTACTGGTTTTATTGAAGTACTGTAGTATATATAGAATGAGTGAAGTACAGTATTTTTGGAAAATGTTGACACAGTAATTAACACTTTGGAGGTTTAGTTTCTGCGCATTCCTGACTAAACATTCTGGGCTCTCCAGGCCAGTCATGAGTTGCTTAACGGTGCAGCGGTGCAAAAATTTTGTAGTCATTTTACATTCAGTTATTTGCCGGGTTATAACTATAAATTTAATGTCAAAATGTCCACAAATAAACTTGCCAGAGAACAGATGCAAGTTTAAAAGTACTGTACTGTATGCATATAATAGATTATTTTCCTCTATGCACGATACCAATTGTAAACATCAGGCTCACCAGGTCCCGCTCAGCAATGCTTGAAATATTTAGTCTTTTTACGTTTTCAAAGTTATATATCTATAAATTTATATATATAAATCTATATATCTATATATCTATAAATTTGTTGTCAAAATGTCTATAAATTAGCTCTCTAGCCATTGCACTGCACAAAGCACCTTAAGGCGCTCTGAGGGTTGTTTTTTTTTTTAATTAGGCCATATTTTAAATTTTTTAATGATTTTCACTCTTTGTGATTTGAAATGAAAATAATTGAGTTTGGAAACATTTTGACATTAACATTAGCTGAACATTTATAAAAGTAACAAAAATGTCCTTAACAGCTGCACCATGAAATGAAGTGTGTTTTTAATAGATTATGTGCAACATATATATGTTGATGGATATATGAATGTTAATGAATTATAATTGAATGAGGAATTTTAGTATCATTTTGAATGTGAAAGTGTTAATTGGTTAGAGTGCTAAGGTGGCATTTAAATAGCTGTACTATACTGTTGTAGAATTTTACACCTGAGTAAAGTGGGGGTTTTAGATGGAGAAACTGTTCATGTTTGAATGATGTATAAATGGTTTTCAGTAAAATGTCCTGAATTCCGTACAGAAAACAGGAAATTCTGTACAGAAACAGGAAATATATTATGAGTTGGTTTTACCACTGATTAGGACATAAGTGACCAATCAGTGAGTGTTGACATTGTAACAAGTCAGCTAGATAATGAGGTGGTCACATACTAGAGAGTTCAAGTGAGCATCTGTGTTTTAGTAGTAATGTAGGGATGTTTGTGCTCCTGGGTTTTCGTTGGTCAGTCAGACTGAGGGGAAACGGTAACACTATGTTAGGAAATTGCAACTGGCATGGTTGCTTGTACTGCTGCTGAAGTGTTATGAATTGTAATGCCTCTTTTCTGGGTTCTCAATTCATAGTTTGGAGGTACAATATTGCATCAATGCTAGTTTTGTAACACATGGAAATAATGCCAGTGCTAATAACTTAAAGTTGTATTAACATTAAATGGAAAGAGTTTATTAAGAATTGATTCCAATGGAAAAGTTTGAGCTTTTCACCTAGCCGTTAGCAGCTGCTTCATATAAACATTTGTAACCTCACTTTCTGCCGGTAAAACATCAAATGATCAGCTGACTTAAGTGATAGTATGGTATTGCCCTTTAAATAACAAATGTTTGTAAACAAATATTTAAATTTTGCCACTAGTTAATGGATATTTACACATTATCGGGCCCCCATAAAAGGCAAGCTTTAAATAGTTTTACATTGAGAGATGTAAAGGGAAAAGGTTTTGACTTGATTAACCAGAAGGTTATGCATCTCAACTGTTTGTCTGCATATATTAATATCTCAACTGAGAAGAGATGGCATCCTGAAACTGTGAATGTTCTCACTTCTCACTAGCTAAAACCAGGTGTTATTATTTTTTGTTTTTGCTTTCTCTTTCTAGCCGCGTGAAGAAGTTATCAGCTGCAGCTGCCGAGTAAGTCACCTTTCCTTTTACTATTTCTGCAAGAAGGTAGAAAGGGATTGCCATAGTCAGCTCCTTATTGATGTTTCTCTCTCTTCTCTGGCTGATTGGAGGTCTTTGCCCAGGAGCATGTTTATACCTGGTGGTGGAAATCTCTTGTAATTCTCATAGACCGTAGACATTAAGAGCCAGATGGCCAAGACATATTTTCAAGTACTGTAATGGAAAGTGACATTGAAACCTCTCAATATTATTCTCAAATAAGATATAATTTGTTGACAGTGCCCAACAACTATTAAAACACTTTAATGGAATCGGCACATCAACACTTGGAGATAACCTGCATCACGAGCCAAGATTTAGAAGATTTCTTAATACTGTATTGAATGAACAGTGAAGGAAGAAAATAATGGGTGTGGTAGGTGAAGCTGGTGTAGACTGTATTGTTACATTGGTACTGTATAGTTATGCCTCTGGTTAAAGCATGTCCTACATCTACCAGATATTGGGTAATGTTTCTCTCACACTTTAACATTAGTGAGGAATACTTCCTCAGTGTAATATTGCCTCCTCTTCCTTGTTCTTTATTATTATTATTATTCTACTTTTTATTTGTTGTGACAAATTTCAGTTTTCACCTTACTTAACAGTGAAGTGAAAATTGGGATTTATTGGTCAGTTACAACTTGATATTCATCATGAGTAAATTATAGTACCAAATGTCTTAGTTATTATAAGACATGTAACTTTCCAATTACAGAAATGTTGCAGATATATATTGGGGTCACCTTGGGCAACTGTTTTTATCTTTTTTTGTAATTATAACTTGCAAACTTTCAGGGTTTTCATTAGGAGCCATTTGCTGGCCAAGTTGACAGCTTGGGTTAATGTATAAGGTTTTTTCATTGTTGCCAATACAGTGTTTGTTTTTGTTAATTTATCAATTTAATTGTAAAGCTATTATGATTTTAATTGCAGTGGCATCACTTGAGTTTATTTAATGGTTTGTAGTGTAAAAATTGCAGATTCTTGAACAGCAGTCTCTTCAAATAGCAGTTAAACTCACTGGTTTGCATACGAGTGAAGCCTCGGGATTATGTTTTGAGTGTATCTTAGCTGAAAATTATACTTAGAGAGAATTATAGTTGAGTGTGTTATTCATACTACAAGACTTGACCCATTCTTTCTTAGCCACCGTCACCGCATGACAGAGCAGGAAGAGGACGAGGAATTGCTCGCCGAATCGAACAAATCATCCAAGATTATCACCCGGTTTGAGGAGAGCCCAAGCTACGTCATCAATGGAGAGATGAGGGACTATCAGATCAGAGGGCTCAATTGGATGATCGACTTGTATGAAAACGGTATAAATGGTATTCTTGCAGATGAGATGGGTCTTGGGAAAACGCTGCAGACAATATCTCTTCTTGGGTAAGAATTTATTGTTGTTGTCGCCCAATTTTATATACTGTATCTGCTTTATTTTTGCTCAAATATATTGACTCTTTATATTGATGTAAAGAAAGTAAATTTGGCTTTTGCATCATGTAAATAGAATTATTCCTTTGTTGTTTGTGTTAATCCAAATAGAATCATTTAATTTATGTTCATAATTTGTATTACTCTTGGCACAGTCACATTCGTATATTTCATAAGATGGGTTCTTTTATTCACTAATCAGCATGGGACATTAATTTGGACTTGACTAAGATATTTCTTGATTTTTTGTTGTTTAAAGCCTAATTCCCCAATCAAATTTGTTATTAGCAGGGTTCATTAATCCTTGTACTGCTCAGTTATTTAAAAGTATGACATCATAGTGTGCATGATAAAAAATAATTAACAAATCAAATGGGTAAACAATTGAATGAGGTGAGTTGTGAATAGGAGGAAATTGCAAGTACTGAGTGTAGGGGTTAAAATTGGTATAGTTTAAGAAGGATGGTTTTTAGGTGTAAATGAGCATATTATATATCAAAACAGTTCAGAAAAATTTAAGTACTGCATTAACAGTAATAATAACTTTAAATTCTTAATACTTCCAACAGTCAATACAGTATGTGCATTGTATGCTGAAACTATTTTACAATTTGTTATTCTGTGTGGTATGTTCTTTTATACTGTATAAATCTAGATGCTGTTCTGTTATTTGTTCTTCACAGGTCTTGGTTCCCCACATTTTTATAGTGTGATCTTTCTAGATACATGAAGCATTTCCGCAACATTCCTGGCCCTCATATGGTCATCGTGCCTAAGTCAACACTTCGTAACTGGGAGAACGAGTTCAGACGATGGTGTCCATCATTGCGTGCAGTGTGTCTGATTGGTGACCAAGAAACTAGGGTCAGTAATGTGTGTCTATACATATACGACATCAGTATTTTGTTAAAAATATTGCTGTAGAATATTTTTTAAATACAGTACAGTACTACAATTACAGTGCGTGTTGTGATTTTCATTCTACATTACGTATATAAATTATCATTACTCAGTTTCTCAGTTTTTCTCTTATTCCGGTAGAAGTTTTTCCTCCATTTGGTACCTTGTGCTTACCTGTCAATCCTAACCTATCACTTGACTATAAAGGAAGGAGATACAGCCTCTTATTCCCTGCCTTCTAGACTTTTATACCTGACACTTAACCACTGCACTGTGCAGAGCGCCTTGTGGCACTGGATCGAGGATGCGCAGAGCACCATTTGGCATTTATAGTTATAGGGAGCAATTCAAAACTTCCACGGGTACACATCCTGTTCCTCAGGACTTGTGTAAACAGATGCCATCTTGAAAAAAAATCATCAGCATCTATGCTGGCTGTGAGAGCCTTAGTACTAAGAGAGCGACCAAAGCTGGTGCATATAGAAACTGCGCACAGCACTGTTGTGCAGCTAGGGGCCACAGCACCACTTAGTAATGATGAATAAAATAGGTAACAAATTATTTTGCGTTGATAGTATCATAGATGATCCTGACTGTGATAAAGACTATGTATAATGTTCAGGTATCGGTGAATACAATGCTAGTTATGATATTCCCAGCATGAGGTACAGATACAGCACCCAGCCATTGTTTCCTGCATCTACGCACAATGAAACGACCTTATATTCCTTCACTAATGTTCATTTTGTTATGGAAATGGATTCATACTTGAGATTTTGTGACAGGAATATGATAACATTGGTTTTGTAGCTAGTCATAGTGAGATGAGTAGAATATTGGAGGCATTGTCTTGCATCATGTGACTGCCGGTGTCGTCTGCTTGTAGCTCCGTGCTGTGTTTTGATTTCATCACCATACCCACCAGAACTGCTTATTAGTATGTTATGGTGTATATAAATGTTGATAGTGATATATAACATGCATATATAGTGTGATAACAACAAGAACACTGGTTGATCTAAGAATATATGTCATCATACAGTATATGAGCTTCGTATTTTTGAGAATAGTTCCACACATTGAACTATATAAATTCCATATATTACACACTATTGAATAAAATTACTGCAAAAAACTAGATATAAAACCATTCACAAACACTGAAATAATTATGTAAAAATATATTTGGGGCAGCCCCTGCCACACTCGACTCTTGGCCGCTAGGCTGACCTTGGATTCTTGTTGTGTATATGAACTCTAAACACACGGTCTTTGTGGTTCATTACGGTGCACAAACACGTAGATAGGAAAATACAACATGTGTGTATGGTATAATAACAGCAAAAACACTGATCGTAGAATATAATATACATGTCACATATATGAGCCCCATAATTTTGACCATAGCCATGTTCTACACATTGAACTATATTAATTCCGCAAATTACGCATTTTTGAATAATATTACAGAAAAAAAACAGAGAAGAAATGAATGAGAAACATCAAAATATTTGTGAAAAATTATATTCACGTCAACTGCCGCCCCCACAGGGTGGCGGGGTCGAGTGACCCTAAGCGCTCCATCACTTAATGCCCATGATTTGCTCAACTTCCCAGCTCCATCATGGCTAAAGTATGTCACATATAATATATTTTCTGGGGGGAGCCCCGTCTGCTCCCCGGAGCTATCCGGGCTGAATGGATATGTATATCTTTCTGGCATCGGTCAGTGCATGGAGTTCTTGCCTACCGGGGACCACGAGCCAGAACCTGGCCCCCCTCTAGAGAGGCACGAGAAGCAATGGCCTATAGAGACCCCCTGTGGTTAGGAGCATTCTATTTCTGCCATTGACCAGGACAGGCACCCAGAAAGGTAGGCGCCCCAAAACGAACCCCTATTCTGATAAAACTATTGCGACCGAAGGCCGATCAAGTGGACACATCGAACAAGTGGACAGAACTCCCCAAACGAAAATTAGCAAACTTGCATGGTATCATCATGTCGCCGCGTCACCCCCCCCCCCCCTCCCTCCCTCCCTGGGAGGGGGAAGGGGGAGCCCCAGACCCACCTGCTGGCGGCCCAACCTTCAGTTCTTGGTTGATGGGAGTCTGGTGCGGTGGTGCCTCTGGCTCTGGCTTTTGCAAAATCTGTGTAAATTACATCAGCATTTTGTTCGTCTTCCATGGCATCTAATGCCATGTCATAGTGGTCCAGCAACTGTGACAGGCAAGAGCGCCCTGTTCTGAAACCATGTTGTCCAGGGTTATGGAGATGCTGTGATTCCATGTATTTTGTGATCTTACTTCTTAGTACACTCTCAAAGATTTTTATAATGTGCGATGTTAGTGCTATCAGTCTGTAATTTTTTGCCTCTGCCTTATTTCCTCCTTTATGGGGTGGTGCTATCTCTGCCGTTTTTAGTATATCAAGGATAACAGCAGTATCTAGGCTTTATCTCCAACGAATGTGAAGGGCCTGCGATAGCGTTTTTTTCTGGGGGGAGCCCCGTCGGCTCCTCGGAGCTATCCCAGGCTGATATGCTAATGTCAGACTTTGGCATCAGTCATGTGTATGGAGTTCTTAGGCCTACCGGGGACCACGGCCAGAACCGGGCCCCCTCAGAGAGGCAAGGGGAGCAATGGCCTATAGAAGCCCCCGTGTAGTTGGAAGCATTCTATGTCTGCCATCGACCGGAACAGGCACCCAGAAAGGTAAGCACCCCAAAACAAACCCCTATGGTTAAAATTGCTACCAAAAACCGAACTAGTGGATAGAACTCCCCAACCGAAAACAAGCAAACTAGTGTGACGTCACACACCGCCGTGCCGCTGTCTGCACAGCTCCCCCGCGCCGGCTACCCACACCTCAGTTCTTGAGGCTGATGCTATAGGCGATGGTCGTGTGCTCTGGCTCCGGTGTCGCTACTGCACTGTGCTTTGCGTGTGGTGTTGGTTTTGTGGGTGCGAGAGCCAGGAGTTATCTTCAGTACTCGGGCTGCATGCGCCTAGGGCTGCCTTCCCTAGGTGCCCTGTAAGTACTGCCCTTGGGGCTTGGGGCCACCTTCCACAGGCTCCTCGGGGTCTGCCTCTGCTGGTCCGTTTTACCTTTCGGTTTTTCGGCCGCCTGTTGGGCTCTTGGGTGTTCTGTTCTCCCTTGTTACCGGCAGGTAAGAGGCAGTTTGCACTGGTAGGGGCGCAGGGTGCTGCTCAGCTTGTATTTCCCGACATCGCGGCCGGCTCTGTTCCTTGGGGTTCCCTGCCCTCTTGCAGGGTTTTGTTTTTCTTTTTGTTTTTGCCTGGTGGGGGGTTCTGTCATTTTATTCAGTTTGTTTTTGCCCTTCCACTGTTCTCGGTGGCGCCCCCTGCTAGGTCCCCGTGAGTGTACACGTCCTTGGGGTTCAGCTTTAGAAGTTTGCTTGGTAGTTTTGGGCGCCGGTTTGCAGCACCCTGCCTGGGACTACCTGAGCGCGAGTCCTCTTAAAGTAAACGCTCAGGACCCTGGGAATCCCCTAGGGGGCGCGTGGGTCCGATGGATGTGACCCTGGAGTCCCCACTCGCTGTGTGCGAGTTTGAGGGTTGCTCGGTCCCCTTGTCTCAGGGTGACCCTCATTGTTTTTGCCTCTGCCACGCTGCCTGTTGGGTCGGTGATACTTTCGACCCTGAGTCCTGTGAGTGTTGCTGCTTGCTTGTGACTCAATTTACCCAATCCTCTGATGATTCTATTCGTGTACAGGCGGCGCGTGCGTTGCAGTCTAGGTTTCGTCTGTTGCAACGCGCTCGGTTGGTTGCTTCCCCGGATGCCCCGGGGCTGCCCCGCTTTGCTTTTCGAGACCCGGACTTGGGGGTGGGGGTCGCTTCGATCCTGGTTCAGTCCGCACCTCCTCGTCCTTCCCCTTCTGTTCGTTCTGGTCCCCCGCCCCTGCTTCCGGCCCCGAAGCGTCTGAGGGTTTCGGGGTCGGAGCAGGGGTTACTTGATCTCGAGACTCGGGCAGCTTCGGGGGTTGCCCCTTCCGGGGGGGCGGCAGAGGCATTCGAGTCTTGTCTCCTGGCTGAAGCTTCAGGGTCTGACCAGTGGGCCCCCCTTCCTCCAGCTTTTCCGGCTGCTCCGTCCTTGTCTTGTGGGGTCGGGGCTTGGGGAGAGGACTCGGCCTCGGGTCCTGTGGTGACGGACCTCGAGGTTGGGGAGGGGCTGACTTGGGGGCCTTGGGCCCCGCTGGACCCCGCCTAGGTTTTTCTTCCCACTGAGCGGGGCTTATTGTTACAAGGAGTGGGGTTTTCTTTTCCCCCCTCTGCGTACGAGTTGGATTTGGTGTCGGCCCCTCCCCGGGTACGTCGGTTCCGTCCTTCCGGAGGTTTTCGGCTTATCGCATCCAACCTGGTGTGGTGCGAGCGGCCTTTGCAGCTTACCTCCTGCGTGACCCGGATTATGCCTCGTAATTGGATCCGTCCACGTTCAGGTTTGGGACTTCGTTCCCTTTCTGGCTCCGTTACGAGGTTCCGGAGTCGTCCTGGCTAGCAGACTGCCCCTTGTTTGGTCTGGATTCCTGGCATTCCTTCTGTCGTTCCCGCACGCTGGAGTGGCGGGAAGCTTCCACGGTGCTTCAGGTTTTCCTGGGGGGCGAACTTGAGTACCTGAATGAGTGCTTGTTTGCCCCTGCCCTTCCCTGCGATGTGGGCGTTATTCAGCTCCATGTGCAGGTTCCCTCCCTTTCGGCGGCGCTCGTTGCGGAGGACTTGCGCGCCCGGGGCCTTTTGTGTTCGGCCTTGCGGTTCTTTTCCCTCCTGGAGCTGTCTTCGGATTGGCTCATGGAGGATTTGGGGACGCTTGGGTCCGTCCCGGAGTCCGGCACCTTGTCCTCGGCTGCGCATTCGTCGGCTGCCTTGTTGAAGCTGTTCACGCCGATTTTGCGGGATGCGGTTTCCCTGTTTTATGCTTCCCGTCTCGCTTGTCGGCAGGCGGTGCTGGGTTCCTCCGTGGAATCTGCTTGGGCTCTGGCTCTTAGGCGTTCTTCACCTTTTTGTCCTCTCCTGTTTGGGGAGTCGGCCGTGGCGCAGTTTATTCAGGCTGCGTCGGCGGCTTGTCATCCGATGTCGGACTTGTTGGTTTTTCGGGGGTCCCGGGGTGGGTCTTCCCGGAAAGGTCGTGCCAGGGCTCGGGGTTCCTCTCGTCGTGGTAGGCCTCTGGTGTCAGGTTTGGGGTTGGCTCCTCCTGCGGACCCTCCCTCGTCTGGTCGGCGCGGTGTTCGCGCTGTGCGGGGTTCTGGGTCTCGTAAGGGTCGCCGGCCCTTTCGCGGTTTGCCCCCTTGACGGGGCGATGGGGGGGCGGCTTGCGCTGTTCGCCCGCGCCTGGTCCCACGATTCGTGGGCCTTTCGGGTCGTGTCTCGCGGCCTGCGGTGGCGTTGGGTGGCCCCTCCCCCCTTTGGGGGGTCGGGGCTGGCAGGGCAGGTTTCTTCCCCTGCGCTCTGTCGAGTCGTCTTGGAGTGGGTACGCTTGGGCGTCGTCGAAACGACGTCGTCCCTCAGATGGGTTTCCCGTCTGTTTCCTGTTCCGAAACGGGACTGCGCGGACCTGCGGTTCATTCTGGACTTGTCCCGTCTGGACTTGTCCCGTCTTCACCTGGGTTCATTGCCCCTCCTTTCGGATGACTACGCTGTCTCAGGTTCGGCTCCTCTTGGAGCCGGGAGCTTGGATGGTGTCCCTGGACCTCCGGGACGCTTATTGGCATGTCCCGATTCATCCGCGGTTCAGGGACTGGCTCGGTTTTGTTGTGGGGCGTCTGAGTTACCGCTTTCGTTGTCTCCCGTTCGGGTTGAACCTGGCACCTCGCGTGTTCACGCGCCTTACACGGGTTGTGGTGGCTCGTTTGCGTCTCCTAGGTGTTCGGGTGTTGGCCTACCTCGACGACTGGCTGGTTTGGGCTCCCAGCCAGTCAGCTTGCTTGCTAGCCAGGGATTTGGTTCTTTCCCAGCTCGCCGAGTTCGGGTTCTTGGTGAACTGGAGGAAGTCCCATCTGGTTCCCTCTCAGGTTCGGACTTGGCTGGGTCTCGTTTGGGACTCTCGAACCGCCTCCTTGTCTCTCCCTCCGGAGTCTCTCCTGCGGCTGCGGTCCCGCCTTCGTCTGTTTCTGGAGGGCCCTCGGGTCACCCGGCGGTTGCTCGAGGGGCTGTGCGGGAGCCTGAACTTCGCGATGGTGGTCTACCCGCCGGGTCGGGTTTGGCTTCGACAGCTGTTCTGGTTCCTTCGGGGATCCCCCTTCCGCCTCTCTCGCGATCGCAGAGTTCGACCCCCGGGGGACTTGCGTCGGTTGCTGCATCACCGGCTTCCTCTTCGGGTTTTTCGGGGTTCAGTGCCTTGGCGCCTACCCGAGCCCTTGCTCGATGTGTACACGGATGTGTCGTCTCTCGGCTGGGGTTTTGTGACCAGTGCTCACCAGGCCGGCCAGGGGCGTTGGGATCCGTCCTTCCGTCGAGCTCACAGCACGGTGCGGGAGTTCGCGGCAGTGTGGTTTGCTCTGGGGAGGATTCGGGTGGCCCGCGGATCGACGATTCGGCTCCATTCGGACTGCTCTTCGGTGGTTCATTGCCTGAACCGCGGGGGTTCGATGCGGTCCTTGTCTCTTTGGGGTTGGTCGCTTCGGGTGACTCGTCTGCTGAGTTCTCGGGGTTTGGCTCTCCTGGCGGTTCACGTACGGGACGTGTCCAACGTCTTGGCCGACGCCCTGTCTCGCTACGTTCCCCTCTCCACGGAGTGGACGGTCGACGACGAGTCCTTCCGTTGGCTTTGCCAGACGTTCGGGCGCCCCGAAGTGGACCTCTTCGCGTCGGCGTGGTTGCGGCGTCTTCCCGTTTATGCGGCGCCCTTCCCCGATCGCGAGGCCGTCGGGGTCGATGCCTTTCGGCTAGACTGGTCGAGGTGGGGGTTCCTGTACCTCTTTCCCCCGGTTCGGCTGTTGCTCCAGGTCCTGACTCGCTTAGAGACTTACCAGGGGAGAATTGTCCTTCTGGCCCCTTGGTGGCCTTCCCAGCCTTGGTTTCAGGTGCTGGTTGCTCGGTGTCCGAACCCGAGGGTTTTCCCGTGGCTCCGCCTCTTTCAGCAGATCGGGCCGGTACGTCACGTGGCTGGTTCGATCTTCTCCTCGAGTCTTCGCATATGGTTTTTTTGACTCGAGTCTATCATCATCTCTATGGTGATCAGGTGGCCTCCTTGTTGGTGTCCCACCTGAGGGCTTCTTCTCGGCGGCAGTATGAAGTTTCCTGGCGGTCCTTCCGTTTCTTTTTGCGTCTTCGTCGTGTTAGCTCCTTGTCTGTTCGGGTGGTCTTGTCCTTCCTCTCGTGGTTGTTTCAGGACCGTCATCTTATGCCTAACACTGTCGCTTCGTATCGTGCGGCGCTGGCAGAGCCGCTTCAGCTTGCTTTCGGTATCGATGTTACGTCTGCGCCGTTTCGCAAGCTGTCTCGTGCATTGTTTCACCTCCGACCTGCTCATGCGTTGCCTGAGCTGTCCTGGTCTTTGGACAGAGTGCTCGCTTTCCTTTCATCTCCTCGTTTCGTTGTGGCCCCTTCGGTCCAGGATTGTTTTTCCAAGGCACTTTTCTTGTTGGCTTTGGCCTCTGGGGGTCGGGTAGGGGAGCTTCATGCTCTCCTCCGGCGCAGGGGTTTCTGCTCTTTTGGTCGTGGTGATTGTTTTGTTCGTTTGCAGCCATCTCCTTCTTTTCTGGCGAAGAATGAGACTGCTGCGTTCCGGAGGGGTCCATGGGTGGTTGATGCTTGGTTGGTCAGGCCGGGGGTGCATCATGTTTTGTGTCCGGTTGCGGCGCTTCGCCGTTATTTGCACGCCACAGCTTCTGTGTCTGGGGACGCGCTGTGGGTTGATCCGGTTTCCCTTCTTCCCTGTTCGTGGGTTCGGGTCTCTCAGGTCATCCGCAGGGTTATTAGGTCCAGCCAGCCTGCGGTCTATCCCCGTGCCCATGACGTTCGTAAGTTCGCGGCTCTTGCTGCCGTCTTTGGGAATATGTCTTGGTCTGATATTCGGGCGCGGGGATTTTGGCGGTCGAACAGGGTCCTGGCTGCTCGTTACCTTGTGAATGTCCCTGGGCCTCGTCGGGCCTGTGTTGCTTTGGGTCGGCAGTTGCAGCCAGTTGTCTCGGCTTCGAGTTGAGGAGTGAGCGACGACCGCCTCCCGGGTAAGTCCCTCTTTTTTCTGTCTGTGGGTAGTTAGCTCCGGGGAGCCGACGGGGCTCCCCCCAGAAAACCAGCGTTGAATGTAATGAAACGCCATTTTCTGGGTGAGTCCCGGAGGCTCCCCGGCATCCCTCCCTCCCTCCGGTCGGCGGTTTTTCGCGTTTTTGACATCCAGCCTCAAGAACTGAGGTGTGGGTAGCCGGCGCGGGGGGTCTGGGGCTCCCCCTTCCCCCTCCCGGGGAGGGGGGAGCTGCGCAGACAGCGGCGCGGCGGTGTGTGACGTCACACTAGTTTGCTCGTTTTCGGTTGGGGAGTTCTATCCACTAGTTCGGTTTTTGGTAGCAATTTTAACCAGAATAGGGGTTTGTTTTGGTGCGCTTACCTTTCTGGGTGCCTGTTCCGGTCGATGGCAGACATAGAATGCTTCCAACTACACGGGGGCTTCTATAGGCCATTGCTCCCCTTGCCTCTTTGAGGGGGCCCGGTTCTGGCCGTAGTCCCCGGTAGGCCTAAGAACTCCATACACATGACTGATCCCAAAGTCTGACATTAGCATATCAGCCTGGGATAGCTCCGGGGAGCCTCCGGGACTCACCCAGATAATGGCGTTTCATTACATTCAACGCTGGATTTTTACAGTTCTTGATGAATGTGGAGTTCCAAGAATCAGGGCCTGGTGCAGAGTGCATAGGCATACTGTTTATGACTTCTTCAAAATCCAGTGGGGGGATTGGGTGACGTCCGATAATCCTGATGGAAGCTATGTCTTCATAGCCAATGTCTTCACCAATGTCTCCACCAATGTCTCCATATCACATTTCTCCCTATCACATTTCTCCCTCTATTTACATAGGCTGCTCTTGTATGTCTTACCTTTTCTCCTCAAAATCCTTTTATGCAGTAAGCATAAACCCTCAGTTTCTTCTTTCCTCTAAGGTTCTGAGGTTAGGTTCATAAACCTGTCCTCATAGCAGAGCTCTCAATTCTAGTACTAGTCTAGTTGCAGACCGCTATACTTTCTTAACTTTTGTTTTGTTCTTAATAAGGTGCATATACCATGCCAGTGCTAAATGCTATAACAATGGTGTTATATATCAGTATATATATATATAGGCTTGAAACTTCCCTGATTACATTTTCAAGTGATGTTCCAATCTTTGCTAATTTACCGTTAGTGCTCATCCAAGTCTTTAAAGTTTTCATATTTATTTAAAATAATGTTAAACTTTGGTAATGAGAAAATTCACATTTCCCAGTCACTTCCTCACATGCTTCATTATGTTCTTTCTCTAATGGCTGAATTGAAAACAGTTTCAGAGCTTTACCAAGGCCCTAGTAATAATAATAATTAATTATAATGTATTTTTTCAGGCTACATTCATCCGGGAGGTGATGATGCCTGGGGAGTGGGATGTGTGCATAACGTCCTATGAGATGTGTATCCGAGAAAAATCTGTTTTTAAAAAATTCAATTGGAGGTATGTCTTTTAGAACAATGAATCTATTTTATAATATTTTTCTGTGGGGAGTTCCATTGGCTCCCTGTAGCTGTTGAACTGATAAATGTGTGGGTGGTGGTGCTTGTTTATCCTTGATGTTACTGTGTGGTGGTGCTTGTTTACCCTTGATGTTATTATGTGGTGGTGGTGCTTGTTTATCCTTGATGTTATTGTGTGGTGGTGCTTGTTTATCCTTGATGTTATTGTGTGGTGGTGCTTGTTTATCCTTGATGTTACTGTGTGGTGGTGGTGCTTGTTTACCCTTGATGTTATTGTGTGGTGGTGCTTGTTTATCCTTGATGTTATTGTGTGGTGGTGCTTGTTTATCCTTGATGTTATTGTGTGGTGGTGCTTGTTTATCCTTGATGTTACTGTGTGGTGGTGCTTGTTTACCCTTGATGTTATTGTGTGGTGGTGGTGCTTGTTTACCCTTGATGTTATTGTGTGGTGGTGCTTGTTTATCCTTGATGTTATTGTGTGGTGGTGCTTGTTTATCCTTGATGTTACTGTGTGGTGGTGCTTGTTTACCCTTGATGTTATTATGTGGTGGTGGTGCTTGTTTATCCTTGATGTTATTGTGTGGTGGTGCTTGTTTATCCTTGATGTTATTGTGTGGTGGTGCTTGTTTATCCTTGATGTTACTGTGTGGTGGTGGTGCTTGTTTACCCTTGATGTTATTGTGTGGTGGTGCTTGTTTATCCTTGATGTTATTGTGTGGTGGTGCTTGTTTATCCTTGATGTTACTGTGTGGTGGTGCTTGTTTACCCTTGATGTTATTGTGTGGTGGTGGTGCTTGTTTACCCTTGATGTTATTGTGTGGTGGTGCTTGTTTATCCTTGATGTTATTGTGTGGTGGTGCTTGTTTATCCTTGATGTTACTGTGTGGTGGTGCTTGTTTACCCTTGATGTTATTGTGTGGTGGTGGTGCTTGTTTACCCTTGATGTTATTGTGTGGTGGTGGTGCTTGTTTATCCTTGATGTTATTGTGTGGTGGTGCTTGTTTATCCTTGATGTTACTGTGTGGTGGTGGTGCTTGTTTACCCTTGATGTTATTGTGTGGTGGTGCTTGTTTATCCTTGATGTTATTGTGTGGTGGTGCTTGTTTATCCTTGATGTTATTGTGTGGTGGTGCTTGTTTATCCTTGATGTTACTGTGTGGTGGTGGTGCCTGTTTACCCTTGATGTTATTGTGTGGTGGTGGTGCTTGTTTATCCTTGATGTTACTGTGTGGTGGTGGTGCTTGTTTACCCTTGATGTTACTGTGTGGTGGTGGTGCTTGTTTATCCTTGATGTTATTATGTGGTGGTGGTGCTTGTTTATCCTTGATGTTACTGTGTGGTGGTGCTTGTTTATCCTTGATGTTATTGTGTGGTGGTGGTGCTTGTTTATCCTTGATGTTACTGTGTGGTGGTGCTTGTTTATCCTTGATGTTACTGTGTGGTGGTGGTGCTTGTTTATCCTTGATGTTATTGTGTGGTGGTGCTTGTTTATCCTTGATGTTATTGTGTGGTGGTGCTTGTTTATCCTTGATGTTACTGTGTGGTGGTGCTTGTTTATCCTTGATGTTATTGTGTGGTGGTGCTTGTTTATCCTTGATGTTATTGTGTGGTGGTGGTGCTTGTTTATCCTTGATGTTATTGTGTGGTGGTGGTGCTTGTTTATCCTTGATGTTACTGTGTGGTGGTGCTTGTTTATCCTTGATGTTACTGTGTGGTGGTGCTTGTTTATCCTTGATGTTACTGTGTGGTGGTGGTGCTTGTTTATCCTTGATGTTATTGTGTGGTGGTGGTGGTGCTTGTTTATCCTTGATGTTATTGTGTGGTGGTGGTGCTTGTTTATCCTTGATGTTACTGTGTGGTGGTGGTGCTTGTTTATCCTTGATGTTACTGTGTGGTGGTGGTGCTTGTTTATCCTTGATGTTACTGTGTGGTGGTGGTGCTTGTTTATCCTTGATGTTATTGTGTGGTGGTGCTTGTTTATCCTTGATGTTATTGTGTGGTGGTGGTGCTTGTTTATCCTTGATGTTATTGTGTGGTGGTGGTGCTTGTTTATCCTTGATGTTACTGTGTGGTGGTGGTGCTTGTTTATCCTTGATGTTACTGTGTGGTGGTGGTGCTTGTTTATCCTTGATGTTATTGTGTGGTGGTGCTTGTTTATCCTTGATGTTACTGTGTGGTGGTGGTGCTTGTTTATCCTAGATGTTATTGTGTGGTGGTGGTGCTTGTTTACCCTTGATGTTATTGTGTGGTGGTGGTGCTTGTTTATCCTTGATGTTACTGTGTGGTGGTGGTGCTTGTTTATCCTTGATGTTATTGTGTGGTGGTGGTGCTTGTTTACCCTTGATGTTATTGTGTGGTGGTGGTGCTTGTTTATCCTTGATGTTACTGTGTGGTGGTGCTTGTTTATCCTTGATGTTACTGTGTGGTGGTGGTGCTTGTTTATCCTTGATGTTACTGTGTGGTGGTGGTGCTTGTTTATCCTTGATGTTACTGTGTGGTGGTGGTGCTTGTTTATCCTTGATGTTATTGTGTGGTGGTGGTGCTTGTTCACCCTTGATGTTATTGTGTGGTGGTGGTGCTTGTTCACCCTTGATGTTATTGTGTGGTGGTGGTGCTTGTTTATCCTTGATGTTACTGTGTGGTGGTGGTGCTTGTTTATCCTTGATGTTACTGTGTGGTGGTGGTGCTTGTTTATCCTAGATGTTATTGTGTGGTGGTGGTGCTTGTTTACCCTTGATGTTATTGTGTGGTGGTGGTGCTTGTTTATCCTTGATGTTACTGTGTGGTGGTGGTGCTTGTTTATCCTTGATGTTACTGTGTGGTGGTGGTGCTTGTTTATCCTTGATGTTACTGTGTGGTGGTGGTGCTTGTTTATCCTAGATGTTATTGTGTGGTGGTGGTGCTTGTTTACCCTTGATGTTATTGTGTGGTGGTGGTGCTTGTTTATCCTTGATGTTACTGTGTGGTGGTGGTGGTGCTTGTTTATCCTTGATGTTATTGTGTGGTGGTGCTTGTTTACCCTTGATGTTACTGTGTGGTGGTGGTGCTTGTTTATCCTTGATGTTATTGTGTGGTGGTGGTGGTGCTTGTTTATCCTTGATGTTACTGTGTGGTGGTGGTGCTTGTTTATCCTTGATGTTATTGTGTGGTGGTGGTGCTTGTTCACCCTTGATGTTATTGTGTGGTGGTGGTGCTTGTTCACCCTTGATGTTATTGTGTGGTGGTGGTGCTTGTTTATCCTTGATGTTACTGTGTGGTGGTGGTGCTTGTTTATCCTTGATGTTACTGTGTGGTGGTGGTGGTGCTTGTTTATCCTTGATGTTACTGTGTGGTGGTGGTGCTTGTTTATCCTTGATGTTATTGTGTGGTGGTGGTGCTTGTTCACCCTTGATGTTATTGTGTGGTGGTGGTGCTTGTTTATCCTTGATGTTACTGTGTGGTGGTGGTGCTTGTTTATCCTTGATGTTACTGTGTGGTGGTGGTGCTTGTTTATCCTTGATGTTACTGTGTGGTGGTGGTGCTTGTTTATCCTTGATGTTACTGTGTGGTGGTGGTGGTGCTTGTTTATCCTTGATGTTATTGTGTGGTGGTGGTGCTTGTTTATCCTTGATGTTACTGTGTGGTGGTGCTTGTTTATCCTTGATGTTACTGTGTGGTGGTGGTGCTTGTTTATCCTTGATGTTACTGTGTGGTGGTGGTGCTTGTTTATCCTTGATGTTATTGTGTGGTGGTGGTGCTTGTTTATCCTTGATGTTACTGTGTGGTGGTGGTGCTTGTTTATCCTTGATGTTACTGTGTGGTGGTGGTGCTTGTTTATCCTTGATGTTACTGTGTGGTGGTGGTGCTTGTTTATCCTTGATGTTACTGTGTGGTGGTGCTTGTTTATCCTTGATGTTATTGTGTGGTGGTGGTGCTTGTTTATCCTTGATGTTACTGTGTGGTGGTGGTGCTTGTTTATCCTTGATGTTACTGTGTGGTGGTGGTGCTTGTTTATCCTTGATGTTACTGTGTGGTGGTGGTGCTTGTTTATCCTTGATGTTATGTGTGGTGGTGGTGCTTGTTTATCCTTGATGTTACTGTGTGGTGGTGGTGCTTGTTTATCCTTGATGTTATTGTGTGGTGGTGGTGCTTGTTTATCCTTGATGTTACTGTGTGGTGGTGGTGCTTGTTTATCCTTGATGTTACTGTGTGGTGGTGGTGCTTGTTTATCCTTGATGTTATTGTGTGGTGGTGGTGCTTGTTTATCCTTGATGTTACTGTGTGGTGGTGGTGCTTGTTTATCCTTGATGTTACTGTGTGGTGGTGGTGCTTGTTTATCCTTGATGTTACTGTGTGGTGGTGGTGCTTGTTTATCCTTGATGTTACTGTGTGGTGGTGGTGCTTGTTTATCCTTGATGTTACTGTGTGGTGGTGGTGCTTGTTTATCCTTGATGTTACTGTGTGGTGGTGGTGCTTGTTTATCCTTGATGTTATTGTGTGGTGGTGGTGCTTGTTTATCCTTGATGTTATTGTGTGGTGGTGGTGCTTGTTTATCCTTGATGTTACTGTGTGGTGGTGGTGCTTGTTTATCCTTGATGTTATTGTGTGGTGGTGGTGCTTGTTTATCCTTGATGTTACTGTGTGGTGGTGGTGCTTGTTTATCCTTGATGTTATTGTGTGGTGGTGGTGCTTGTTTATCCTTGATGTTACTGTGTGGTGGTGGTGCTTGTTTATCCTTGATGTTATTGTGTGGTGGTGGTGCTTGTTTATCCTTGATGTTATTGTGTGGTGGTGGTGCTTGTTTATCCTTGATGTTATTGTGTGGTGGTGGTGCTTGTTTATCCTTGATGTTATTGTGTGGTGGTGGTGCTTGTTTATCCTTGATGTTACTGTGTGGTGGTGGTGCTTGTTTATCCTTGATGTTATTGTGTGGTGGTGGTGCTTGTTTATCCTTGATGTTACTGTGTGGTGGTGGTGCTTGTTTATCCTTGATGTTATTGT